AGACACCAATTTCATAATTGGAATCAACCACCTACTTTTCACACGTGTTGCCCGATTATCGAATATTTTTGTTATTTTAACATTAAATAAATATTACAGCAAAATATTTTTCAAGATTTCACGGAAATGTGGTAAAACCTGTTTGTTTTACTGCACGAAAACAAAATGAGCAATACTTTAATGTCATTCGTCGACTACGTGATAGTGGATGTAATATAAATCCAGAAACGATAATAAATCCTCATTGAAATTCCCAATTGACCGAACTGTAACCGTAACGACACCATATGGTCTATTAATGACCTTTTTATCTGAAATAACTTTGTTAAACATGTATTGAAAGCTGTTTACTTATCTTATTTTTTGCAAGCCGATACGCAAAGTAAACAATTCTGGTTTTACAAATGACTTCGTTATCGCATTATGTTACTAACTTCGCAGAGTAGCGGAGATTCCTCCATTCCTAAAAGAGGATTGTATATTATATTATTATGATGTATCGCATGAGTAAGCTAAGTGTCGAGACGCTTTGGAAGGAGTAATAAAATCAAATTATGGTATTTTTATTAAAACAGAAAAAAAAATTGTATTTTCGCTGGGTACCAAAACAGAACCTGCTCAGATTTTGCAATTGTGAGCTATATACTACATGACTGTCTGATAATTTGACTTATATGTATGCCATAATAAAAAAGTACTATCTACTTAAAAAAGAAAAAGCTTACAACTTGTGGCACAGTTATCAAAGTTCATTGTACGATACCCCTAATTCTTAGTCATCTCCGAAATTATCACGAATCTTTAATATGTGAATTCGAGTAGTATGTCGGTTCCCAAATAAAAACAAAGTTTCCGTAATTCATCACAAATACAAATATTATTTAACCAATCTATTTTACAGATAAGTTGAAGTAAACAAAAATAAATGAGCAATCCGAATATTGGTAAACATATCGTTGATTTCAAATGTTTAATTATAAATAGTTGGATAATCTGAAGTTGTAACCGTTTCGACGCCGGGGTATCACAATATCAATAAACAATGGTCCTTAAAACCAAGTTCTTAACCCGGGATTTCAGGTCAAGTACAAAAGTCCACCTCCGCCTGGTGGGGCAAGAAAAGGAACACGGTGATTTTAAATCAGTAAGAGTGTGGCACTCCCTCTTGCCCCACCTAACGAAGAAAGAAGTCATTTTATGATTTTCCATCCACAAAAAAATAAACTAAGTATTCAGTTCGGATTTTTTACTTTATTATTTTATGGTCTGTCCACCACAAAGAAAAATAACCTTCAGCTCATAGATCTACATCTACGTGTTATCTAATATATACCTGAGTTTTTTTAAAAATACATATATGAGTAAGTAATTGCACGTTATTTGAAGTGAAGTGGAAATCATCAAATGACTCCTCTCGCCCTAGGTGAGACGAAAGTGGGGTGTGCATGTGAGACTCTTACTGTTAAAAATCCATCCCGTACCAACTTCTGCTCAGACCCGCCGGACGTCGCGGTATAATAACTGCGCTTTCACCCACGACTCCAGCTGAATTGGACCCTGGATTAGTATCAAGTTTACCTATATGGATATACTCATCCCCTATTTATTAGGTACATATTCCTGCTTCAAAATTATGTATCCAGTGGCGTTGTAAAGGTTAATAGGCAAAACACAAGTATAGGTTATGTGTACACTTTACAAAACAGATGTTGGCACCACCAGCCACCGGCGGTTATCTCTTACATATGCACACATAATATACATATAAATACGGCGCGACCGTATTCACTAATACTAATAGAATCACAGATTTTCTTATTATCACACTATCTCATCATCATCATCATCATCATATCAGCCACAGGATCACAGGTCACACTATCTATTATTTGACAAATCTATACTAATATTATAAAGTTTGTATGTTTGTAAGTTTGTATGTAGGGGGTAATCTTTGGAACCGCTGGTCGGATTGCCAAAATTCTTTCACTGATAGATAGCTACAATGTTCCTGAGTGCTATAGGCTAAAACATCACGCTAGGATTAAATGGAGCCGTGCAGCGGGTGAAACCGCGCGAGAGTATCTAGTATGTAATAATTTTATTAGCATGCCTAAGAAAATTAAAAATAAGTATTTAAATTGCCGCTTGCAACTCGTCTCTATTGTCTGAAACGGGGATGGTATTATGGATTTCGTACTATGCACTGGTGCTGTGTAGGTCATGTAGAATTAATATGAAAAACTGGTCAAGTCGTTGTTGTTTCTGTCAAGTAAGAACTACCTACAGTACAAAGTCAGGTTAGCGTATATATAAGTACGCCACGGAATATATTCTGCTTAGCACATTGTGTCGTTATTGGGTAATTAATTAGTGACATTGATTGATTATGAAAGTACCTAAAAGATTGTATGCCACCCTACCCTTACTTTAAATCCTCGAAAAGAAAAAAAAACGATAAAACAAAGAAAAAGGCATGGCATTTTTTCATTGCCATAAGTTGTCATGACAACTAACCTATCCTTTTTTTGTGGAGAGAAAATCATCAAATGGCTTCTCTCACCCGGGTTATGATAAGAGGAAGTGTCAGACTCTTACTAGCAAAAACACCCCGTTCCTTCTCCTGCTCTAGGTCGAGGTCGCCGTACCCATGTGCTTGACGCGCTACCCCGGAACTATAACCTACCCTACAGTGATATTTTATTGGCCGGAAATTAAAACTCACCATTCCATTTCCAAACAGAAATAAAAAAATAGACTTTTTTTACATTTCTACAGGCTAGAGAAATTGTTATTTTATTTAATTTATAAAAACAAATATGGAATTAATAATCGACTAAAACGGTTTATCTACCGCTCATACGTAACGGAACTTTGAGTCGGAAGGAACTTGAAACAGCTCGCATCCGGTGTTCCAAACTACGTAATGAACATTTCTATAAATGTTTTTGATTTTGTTTTTGCATTATCTCACACATGTATTTCCGCGTAGTTACTTATGCGTCATGTTTGCCCGCGTTATGCATTAAAAATAGGTACCCATGGACTTTGATCATAAACACCAAAACAGGAATTGGATCATCTGACTCTATTTTCTGTATCACTTTTGAATTAGATAAAACCATTAAATAAAACAATGTACAGCTACATGTGTGTTTAAAAACTATTGGTTATCAGTTCGCAGTTAAATCGGATGTCAGTGTAACGTGAGCAGGTTGTTCGAGTGAGCAGATGCTGGTCGTGCCAGCCACCGCAGCCGATAGCGTTGGCTAGACGTGCAATAGTGACGCAACACAAAAAAAATCATCTGCGTAAAACCTTGATAATTTTCCCCCGCACATTGTACTACTCGGTGTGATTCAATTACGCATTCTGCGTATGTGCATAATGCAGTAGGTACTGTTAATAATACGCTGCCGAGTTTTATTTTTCCATTGCATTTATGCTCTGTACTATACCTATGGATCTATTTTATGAGATGTCATATTAAGCTTTTACAAGACCAAGATAACTGAAATTAACATTTCGTTTTACGTATCATCAACGAATGTCAGGTAAATCTTTCGTTTCGATGTAGTTTTATTATCGTAATAGAAAATGATATTAATTGGTACATACTTAAGTACACCTACAATATATAATTGTAGTAACACTACAGTGGGTATGTATGGGTATTGTAACGGAAAAAAATTGATAAGAAGCATTGAATGGATTTGAAGAGGAATTCATGAATGAATGCATTTTGAATCGTGTTCGTGGATGTGCGTGGCTAAACAGATATTAATATGTTAAAATATATTTAAACCTTGCATTTATAGATTTGAAATTCATTTTTGGAATGTGTCGTTTCGGTCACCACACGCTTTCTTCAACAGTCCTTTGATGCATTTGCTTTTAAGAACCCTAATTTCGCTTTGCCTTGGTTTTTTGATATATTGATGTACAGCATCAGTTATTGGACTACAAGGTTCTAGTAAGGTGCTGTTCTGACCAAGTGACCATAGAAGAATGCGACATATCAACTTGTCATTACAGCAAACATTTATGACTTTTATTTTTAGGCGAAATAGGTACTTGGTTTATCTAGAAATACGTATATCTACACAATCTGAACTACATTTAAAAAAGAACTCACGCACTAAATAAATTAAATCTAAATTTGTCGCGCTGCTGTGTAATTAAATTTTTTGGAGACCTTTGACCCTAAAGTGGCACTGTTCCGTTAAAAACGCAATAAAGAGAACAGTCTCATATGATCTTGCGCAGCTACATTAGCTACAATGTTGGATGCAAAGACTATTTGATAACCGTTATAAATCACGTTTACACTTTGAATATTGTTGTTAAGTACAATATAAATATAAAAACTTAGGTAAAAGAACTGTCGGACAAGTCGGGCAAACAACCGATAACAACGGAAAATGAATGAGCCGGCTCTCAATTATGTTCAATAAACGGCTTTGTTAATTGATATTTTCTACTGTTTTTATCTTTTTAACTGCAAAATGTATTAATATGTTGACAAAACAATGGTCGTATGTAATGTATATCTACCTACTTACATACAATTATGTGCGGCGTTCGAATAGGAACTAGCCGGCTTATTCTCTGCTAATGTTTATTGTTGATTGCGTAAAGGGTTAGATATATTTTTAATTTATTTCCACTGGGTATGGCCGGTGCGGGACATGTGCGAGCGCGGATCCGCCGATAATCGCCAATCGTCGTTATCGCGTCCGTCGCGCTGTCCGCCGGCGCCGCTCCATCTCGACCACGCTCATTCCAACCCTGGGACGCGACACAGCCGCCCGTCTGCACCTCATCCTGATGTTATATCCGCATACATTACTACCACTGAACCACTTCAATTAAACAGTTGAAAATTAAACATTGTGCACAACTTGGAACCAAACATTGTAAGTTTTTGCAAATCTATGATGATTTTCATTCATAAATTTTATTTTCCTTTTTTTAATTTGTGTTACCATTATCACTTTCAGGTGCACCATGTTTTGTGACGGCTCCGGCCCGCTTCTGGAAGAAGCTCTACTCAATGACCAACTGCTTTTTGAATACTCGCCAGCGGAAAGCCTCATAAACTTTGAGCTTCCGTCATTGGATTCTGATGGCGACTGGCAGCTCAGTGACTTGGATCTCAATTGTGATAGTTTTGTAAATAGTGTTAGTGACTTAAACAAGGACGCTACAAATAGTTGTAACATTCTCGATGGATCAGTTTTCGATTTTGCCGAACTAGATAAGAGCATTATTGACGAATATCTCCTGGAAGCATTGAGCAGCGATCTCTCCAATGACTCGCCACATTCTCCACAGTCCGGTACGGACTCATCATTAAGCAACGAGTCCATCTGTGCCCTGGAGACACATGACTACGTCACAGCCAATAATGCCTGGCCGAGCAATACGCGTGTGTATGAGAAGACCGAGGTGAAAGTACGTTCGTTCGGAGAACCAAAGTTTTGTCAAGAGCTGGGTGCGTTTCGTTGTCCTGTAGACGATTGTGGTAAACTGTACGCAAAGGCGTCCCATGTGCGTGCCCACCTTCGGCGGCACAGCGGTGAGAAGCCGTACAGGTGTACGTGGGGAGGTTGTTCGTGGAGGTTCGCGCGCTCCGACGAGCTGGCTCGGCATCGGCGCAGTCACTCGGGCGACAAGCCGTACCGGTGCGGGGAGTGCGGCAAACGGTTCGCTCGCTCCGACCACCTCGCCAAGCACGGGCGGGTGCACGCGCGCCGCGCCGCCGCTGCTGCAGCCGCTGCCGCCAGCAGGAGAGCTGCCTCGGCACCACTCGGACATAGGAGATCAACGAGGGGAATGCTGCTACTATGAGTACACCAAACATTTATGGTGACTAGATAGATAGACTTGAAGTGTTTTACAATTTCGGTCAGTATTTAAAACCAAGAGGTAGGTACTTACTGAATTCGTTATCACTTAGAAGACTGAGTTTGTTCTTATATTTGAAAAACTGATTCTAGTTGAGTTAGGAGTTAGGTAAACGCGGCCTTTGAATGGCTGATTATGCCACTTTTAATGTTTTTAATATAAACCTGAGTGAACGCTCTGAATAAATACTTAGTACTTATGCCCAAAATTAACTTAGCTCAATAGTGCATAAGTATTTTAAGTTATATATTTAAATAATACAAGAATCTATACCAAAAATTGACTGTGAATCTGAATGAAATGTTTGTAAATATTATTTTAAGTATCCATATGAAGCAATATTATATAAATAATTGTACTTAGATATCTTATAAAAACCTATAGTTTTGTTATGTAAATATTAGTGTTAAGAACGTTAATTATGCTTTGTCTATGTTTGAAATCTAAATAATATGAATATTCAAAAGAAAGTAATAAACATTGAATTTTATTGAAAGCGACTTGTATTGATGTTTTATTAATTTATTATTCTGTACTTATATTATAACCAGTTAATAGATTCGATTCACAAGTAAATATGTACGCCTTAAATTATGTAGGTAGTCCTCCATCCTTTTAAAAGCTGCAACTTCAAGCAAAGCTCTATTTTCAGTCTACCCAGAATTAAGATTTAGTTTTAAGGTTGATTAAGTTTAATGTTCAAACCTGAAAGTGAAAATAAATAAATAGACACGTAATATACATTTGTAAGTAGATTCTTTTTATCCAACTTTTATTATTTATAAATATTTCGGATGCAATTACAATATGGTCAAATATCACGAAACAAATTTATTGATCAATTCAACTTACATATTTAATTTAAAAAAATATGGATTTTCAAGTATAATATTTATTTTATTTTTAAGTCACCTAATATCTAGTAGTGGACGGTTTGTGACATTAGCTACGTCTAAACAATAACGGTTCAACGGTTGAACTTCAAAAATGCTGCCAAGTTCAATGTTACGCAGCTTATCACTTAGTCGAGCAGAAGGCCATGCATATATGCTACGCGTACGGTGGCAACTTTTACATAAAATTTGTAATAGCGTTGATGACAGGACAAAATGTCGTGGTGGCCCAGAGGTTAAGCAGCCCACTTCTCATGCATGAGGGTGTGGTTTCGAAACCTGGCAAGTACCGATGTGACTTTTTCCGAGTTATATGGTACTTTCTATGATTATTAATAGTCACCACTGACATACGGTGAAGGTAAACATTGTGAGGAAACCTGGACTTATAATTTCTAGTTATAAGTTTGAAATCGCCAACCCGCATTGAGCAAGCGTGGTGATTAATGCTCTAACCTTCTCCGTATGAGAAGAGGCCTTTGCTCAGCAGTGGGCATTTATAGGCTGATGATGTTGATGACAGGGAATAAAAAACATGAACCCGGCAGTCAGCTAACGAAAAAATATAGGATAAGGATTTTTTCGTATGTGTAAGTAAACACAATATTTATAAAAAATTAAGAAGTCACTCAGTAATACTGAGTCTGAGTACCTACTGAGTCAGTTTGGATTTGAGTCGTAACGTCACGTGTTATTTGAAATCTATATAGGTTGTTACTTAACGAAAGTATTTTTGATATCGTAAAAAAACAAAATTAGGTACTAACTTCGTAATTAGGTACTACTTTCACTGACATTAAAATAAAAATTACCTAATATTAGATAATATTAGGTTAAAGAAAAGGTTTCGTCGTATTTTTTAAGAAAGTTCGAAATATTTTTTGATGTAAGTAAGTAGGTACTTACTTAGTTTATTTACATTTACTTAACTAATTCGTGTAGTTCATTTATTTATTCATCATTCATATCATTCATCTATTTATTTTTAACCGACTTCAAAAAAAGGAGGAGGTTCTCAATTCGATTGTATTTTTTTTTTTTTTTTTTTTTAATTTTTTTTTTTATGTTTGTTACCTCAGAACTCCGTCGTTTATGGACGGATTTGCAAAATTTTTTTTATGATTGAAAGGATATGCTTCCAGATTGGTCCCATTCTTTTCAAAATTGGGTTTTGATGATGGGATCCATGAGAAATCGAGGGAACTCCTCAAATATTATAGGCAACTATATAGTAATTTTAATATTTTCATAGAGCACTCAAGCATTTACAGTCAAAAAGTAATATTTGATGGGGTGGAACTGGTGAAGAAGATCAGAAATGGGTGATGAAACTTGACACTCGCATAGATATCACAATCAAGGTAGTTCAGCAACTATGAAAATGCACTGTAAACCAATGATCTTAAATAATTATGTTGGAAATGTTATCATCGAACTGATTTAATGATGATTATGGAGCTGGAAGGTAGGCACTGGAACTGCGTACCTAATTAATATATCCTAGCCGTGTTTGGGCTTGTTAGAATTGTTATAAGATGCACTTTGGCTGTAAGGTACTATTGAACTGATGTGATGATGAAGCTGGAAGGTTGGCATGGGGCCTAGTATTGTGTAAGCTTATTAGAGCTGTCAAGAGCAATGGAAAGGGCTATGCTCATAGTTTCCGTGCATGTTCGAATCAGAAATGAAGAAATCCGCAGAAGAACCAGCGTCACCGACATAGCCCGAAGAAATGCCAAACTTAAGTGACAGTGGGCTCGGCACATTGCTCGTAGAACAGATGGCCGATGGGGCCGAAAGGTTCTAGAGCGGGACCGCACACCTTTGGGGGCGGAGTTTGGCCTAGTATTGGCTATTTTGCATTAGTCCACGTGGACTGCGTTTACACATTAGTGGTGAAATGCGTCATTGTGTTCTTATCGTTTTCCTGGTAATAGGCTAAGAGAATTCATTGGCATTTTTAACAAAACAGTCGTTTTAAATGGGTTACAAAACAATAATTGCGTCGTACAAAACAATAATTGTGTTTCTTTTGTGTGCACATATGTAGATAATACTTACTTAAAAAAGGTTCATACATTGAATGACTCATAAATGTATATTTACAATAGCGATGGTCTTTTGTATTTTTACCAACTTGTCTATATATGAATGTTCTTAGTAATAACAAAATAGTATTCTTCATTTAATGGGTTACAATTGATACAAAACAATAATTGCATCGGTCTTTTTTCTATGTACGAATGTATTTAATCATAGATACTAAATTAGATTGCATTTGGTATCTTTGAACTTTATCTGTCTGTTGATGAAAATATCTAGTTTTTTGTTATTTGGCGAGAACTAATATGAATTTATGATAAGATTATTATTTTTTTTTAACTATAAGTCATAAGTATCTCATGCATCATATCATCTCTCCTCGAGATCAAAACGATTACACAGTAACAATGTACTATGATATGTATTTCTACGTATAAGTATGACATTTGTAACTTTTTCAAAAGAAATGTAGGAACGATATTGACTTCTTTGCCATGACACATTATAATCAAAAAAAACACTAAACGGCTACAAATAAAAAAAAATTTTACAAAATAAAAAAACCGCCTTCAAAAAAAGTCAAGCAATAAAAGTTCCTACACTAAAAAGTAACAAATAACAATTTGAATTACTGTAAAAAAACTTAGTTTATAGGTAAACTTATTTGACATTAATATTTTGCAAATATTCAAAATTTATTACTTATTTTTGGAGTCGGTGCCAGCCCATGCAAGGAAATACAAATGGGCAACAATCCCTTGAAAAACTACCTCTTACTTAATTATAAAACTACTTAATACCTATTTGCATACTCAAATATAGGTATATTAATTAAGACATAAATACAGATTAGACTTCTCTACAAAAATGTCCGATTTGCACATTTTTTTTAAATAAAAAATATATACTTACAAAAACATTTTAAGTACATTGAAAATGTTTAAGCATTATGTACGAAAAATGGCACCGGATATTAAAAAGCTAACTAACATTAAGTTTCAACATTAAAATGCTGGCACCGACTCCAAAAATAAGTAATAAATTTTGAATATTTGCAAAATATTAATGTCAAATAAGTTTACCTATAAACTAAGTTTTTTTACAGTAATTCAAATTGTTATTTGTTACTTTTTAGTGTAGGAACTTTTATTGCTTGACTTTTTTTGAAGGCGGTTTTTTTATTTTGTAAAATTTTTTTTTATTTGTAGCCGTTTAGTGTTTTTTTTTATTATGTTCGACAAAATTTTTGCCATCTTGTAGGTAGGGACAAGATCGCATTGCTATAGAAATTTTGGGACTTCTGTTACCTAAAAACTGCGACGAGTGGTTTTGGCAGTTTTCTCGTAGATAATGTTAACCTGATGTTGCTTAAAGAATCCTGAAAAGACTGAAACAGATGGAAATCTGAAGGTGCAAGGTCTGGACTATACGACGGATGTAGTAACACCTCCCAGCCAAACTTTCTTTATTTTTGCTGTGTGACTGAAGATGTGTGTAGTCTAGCGTTATCTATTATAATGAAAAACCACATCCCTTCTGTCGATTAATTCTGATCGGTTACTCTCAACTTCTTGCTTTAATATCATCAGTTGATGGCTGTTCAGAATCGGTGCTGTGGTCCTGTCTGGTGGTAATAGCTCATAATACGCTCTCAATGGCAGCATACATAGCATCACCTTGTCGCGAGTTAACTCGGGTTTCGCCTCAGTCTATGAACCTAAGCGGCCTTTGATAACGACCTTTTTCGCTTCGCTCTTGTCGTAAGTGATCAACTCTTCATCAACAGTTATCAGTTTCTTCAAAATTGGTTCGGTTTCATTACGTGATAATAAAGAATTGCAAAAGTGTACAGGATTGGTTCATTAGGTTTCTTTTAGTGAGCTCGTAAGGTATCTACTCAAATATTGAGATTTTTTGTGTAAGTAGGTACCAGTTTTTTTCCAATGCAATAGAATTACTTTGTGTTCAATTTCCCGTTCATCAGCTACACCATAATTTTATTAAGGACATGCTGCGCTTGTCCCTATTTTTTAAATTTGGTTTTTATATTATGCGTAATACGGCGACCGTGCAGGTCGACGTGCATCTTGACATCAAATTTTCCGTATTACAAATGCTTGAACCAAGTTTTTTGTACTCTCATTGTTCATTTTTAATAATAATAAAGATATATACCTACTCACTATCTTTTAAACTTTCGCAA